GGGTTACAGGAGTCGGAGTAACGAGTCCTCCGGCTCGACAGTATTTTGACATGTCGAAACATGCTTTCAGCGGAGACGCAGACCATGTTATTTCAGAATAGCATCAGTTCCTCCGCAATAATGCTGCTGCGTAGACAGAGCCTACGTGTGCTTCTCTTGTTGTCTCTTGGTTTTCTTACTGCTTTCTTTTACACAGACCGTACAAATCCATCGCGAGCACCCGAGCACCCTAATGCACCCAAATCCATCACAAGCCTTTGAGCTTTCGTTCCATCTAGCTCATTGCTAGAATGTCTTTCCCAAAGGCTGCCTGGTGGAGAAAGAGAAAATGTCCCTGGCCCTTACTGCCCCGGAATGTACGTGGTGTTCCCCGAGGTGTTCCTGAGTCTGGAGGAAGACTGGGGGGTGGCATAGTCACAGTGGGGCTACATTTTATACCCTCCCTTTCAGTGCAGGAGCAGCTTGAGCTGCTCTTCGTTCCGCCCAGTGCTTCACTAGACGCAAGCGGAGGGCAAGTTTGTGCCCTGGACAGCCTGCTCCGAGCCACGAGATGGAGGCTGCCGGAAGGGTTAGCGCTAACTTTGCAAGGAGTTTTTTTCATGCCGTCTTCCTGTGGGAAGCAGCAGCGTCTCACTGCCTCGTGCCACACCCTGGGGCCCCAGCCCTTCCTTTCTGTAGCCGGCAAGGAGCCGTGGGACTTGGTTGGTTGGTTTTTGTGTGTAGTGCGTTAGCCGGATGCCCTCGGTTGCAGTAGGAAGCGGCGGGATTGGAACGTGAAGGGATGCAGCCATTTTCCATCCTTTGTTCTTGGCACAAACAGAAGGGACATTAGATTATCAGTATTTCATCTCTCTAGATAGCCATGAAGCGGTGGAGTTAACTTTATTTCAAGTACCAATTATCGTAGCAGCCTGACCAAAGTCATCTCTGCAGACTATTCAGTACAGAAGAATGGATTCACTGCCTTTCCCTGCCCCAGGATACAGGGAATTTCTGCGTACTGCGCGCACATTGAAGCAGGGGTGGGCAGTGCATTTCTGGAGCTTGGCGTGGGCCTGTAGCAGTCTGAGGCACAAGACCAGACACCGGCTACGTGACTTGTCCCCGGGCAGTAACTCCAGATACGCTGCCTGGAGAGTCCTGGGCTCCAAGAGGAATGGCAAGGAGAGGAGGTGGGCGTCTCCGTGCGTGTTCTGGCTTCTTCTCGCATTTAGACATGCCTGCCTCATGTGCCAGCTCAGCCCTAGCATTTGAGCTGGCAGGGCCAATGGCACTATAGCCACCCATGAATGCGGCAACCGCTTCTTGATTCTGCAGGCCTGATGAAAGTAGCCATCTGGCCCAAAGAAAGGACAAAGGCACCGGGCACTAAAACAGGCCCAGAATGGAGCCTTGAATTTCTGACCCAGTTGTCACAGTAGGAGAGAATGAACCCTTAACGTGATGGGTGTTTCTCTTACCCTAATGCACATAGACCTGCTGGTGCCATTTCTCCCTGTGTGATTTCACTTACGTTTGAAGCAACATTCTGTATCTGTGGGAGAGGCTGCTGCAGCCAGCCCTGCAGGCTCGTGGTCAGCTCAGCTAGCGTGGCTGTGTCCTTACAAAGAAGTTGAACTTTCTCCCAGGCAGTTTCAGGGCCAGCAGCAATTCTGAGTGTCATTGTTCCCTCACCTGGATTTCTGGGTGTGCTACACAAAGCAGGTCGCCCCATTTTCCCCAGGGATTGTAGTGCTACCTGAGTCAGCCCATCTTTAGATTAATCTGCAAAAGGGGTTTCTTTTCATTGTATGAAGAAAAATTCAGTTTTTATTGCTGGGTTATTTAGTACCCAGATGTGTGCGTGAATTTCCTGAACTTTATGTATCATCTGGACGAAGCATCTGGATGCACCTCATTGTGGAACCTTTACTGCTGTGAAGTATTTTGGGATGGCAGCTAAAAGAAAACAGAGGAAATCGGCCAGTAGGGTTTGGTTTGCTCCTGATCTTTTAGGCGGCTCACAATGAACACATTAAGTCTTGCAGAGGCAGAGACAAACTGATTGCTGTCCAAGTCACTAGACATTTGGATTCATCATTTGCCATCTGAGTCATTTTCATTCATTTTCCTCTTCACTTTCTG